ACTTTTAATCTTATGTATATGTCTGCACTGTCCAATACAATAGCTGTCACGGGCCGGGCGCGGTGGCTCAAGCCTGTAATCCCAGCACTTTGGGAGGCCGAGACGGGCGGATCACGAGGTCAGGAGATCGAGACCATCCTGGCTAACACGGTGAAACCCCGTCTCTACTAAAAAATACAAAAAACTAGCCGGGCGAGGTGGCGGGCACCTGTAGTCCCAGCTACTCAGGAGGCTGAGACAGGAGAATGGCGGGAACCCGGGAGGCGGAGCTTGCAGTGAGCTGAGATCCGGCCACTGCACTCCAGCCTGGGCGACAGAGCGAGACTCCGTCTCAAAAAAAAAAATAAAATAGCTGTCACGTACACAGGACTATTGAAGTTAATTAAACTAAAAATTCAGTTACCATATTTAGACAGTACAGACACGTTTTCATCTATGTTTTTGCGATAGGGTCTTGCTCCATTGTCTGAGCTATATGATTATAGCTCACTGTGGCCTTGAACTCCCAGACTCAACTGATCTCAGATAGCTGGGACCACAAGTGTGCACCACCACATCCAGCTAATCTTTTTACTTTTTGTACAGACAGGGTCTTGCCATCTTGCCAGGGCTTGTTTCCATCTTTGTGAAAGTTCTGTTGAACAGTGCTTTTCTAGATTGTAAAACTCAGAAGAGATTGTGACTTGACCTTTGGTTTTATCTCTGGTCTTTGTGTAGTGCTTTGCTTATCTGGAATTCAACTAAGAAATAAAATTAACTCCTGGCACAGAAGAAAGAAATAACATTTGGGAAATATTTGCTTCTTGGGAGATGATAGTTGAACCAGAGAAGTATGTGAAATATTTGCAGACCTCCATAATTTCTTTGTTGCACATTTGCCAAGCATGGGTTAAAAGTACAGGGGAATAGGGATTGGCAGTTGCTAGTTTGTTTATTCCTGAACTATAGGGTAAGACACACAAGTGATTCTCCTGCTTACCTGCTTGTTTGTATACTTGTTTTCTCCCTACTCTGAACTGTAGGCCTGCACTGTCCAGTATAGTAACCCCTAGCCACATGTGACTACTTATGTTGAAGTTAAATAAAGCTAAAAGATGCAGTCTCATATACTAGCCTTATTTTTCAGGTGCTCAGCACACTTGGCAGGCGGCTGCTGTAGGGGACAGCACAGATAGAGAAGGATGTGGTCATTTTACAAAGTTTTGTTGGTCATTGCTGGTCAAGACCTATCACATAGCTGTAGCTGTAAATGGCATGACAATTTTGGCATTTGGCTTTGGTTTTGAAGCTTAAAAAAATTAGACAGTTCAGGTAATGAATGTTTTAGTTACTAAAGTTGCCAGTTGATTCCTAATTTAATCCAGAACTTCCTGTTACAGAGGCTAAGGATGTGACCTAATATTTTCTTCTTAGTACAGGATTGCTTGGTTGTGAGTATTCTAAATGAGTCAAATGAGCTGAAAATTTGAAGTGGTTTCTTTTCGTATTTTGTCTTTGTAATGGATTTTGACGCCTAGAGTGTTCTGAAAGGCATTTGTTTTTTAGAAAGTTGGTAGGTAGTTGCACCTATTTTGTACCAGGTGTTGTTATTGATGCTGGAGACAATTGCCTTTAAGCAGAATCAGGTACATGTTCCCTGCTTGTTTTGGCTACATTCTAAATGGGAATGTGGGGAAGGCAGACCTAAAATGCACATTTTGTGTTTTGTTACTCATTACCTATTTTTCAGAGATGGACGCTTTCTGTATTGCCCAGGCTGGTCTTGAACTCCTGGCCTCAAGTGATCCTCCCACAGTGCTGGGAATACAGGCATGAGCCATTGTACTCAGCCTAAAAATAGACTTTTTTTAGGTCTAGCAGTTTTAGGTTTACAGCAAAATTGAGCAGAAGGTACAGAGGTTTACAGCTAAATTGAGCAGAAGGTACAGAGAGTTCCCATATAGCCCCCTACCCCACACATGCTGTTTTAAATCTTTTTTTTTTTTTTTTTTTTTTTGAGACGGAGTCTCGCTCTGTCACCCAGGCTGGAGTGCAGTGGCCGGATCTCAGCTCACTGCAAGCTCCGCCTCCCGGGTTTACGCCATTCTCCTGCCTCAGCCTCCCGAGTAGCTGGGACTACAGGCGCCCGCCACCGCGCCCAGCTAGTTTTTTGTATTTTTTAGTAGAGACGGGGTTTCACCGTGTTAGCCAGGATGGTCTCGATCTCCTGACCTTGTGATCCGCCCGCCTCGGCCTCCCAAAGTGCTGGGATTACAGGCTTGAGCCACCGTGCCCGGCCTGCTGTTTTAAATCTTAAAGATCATCTTAATCTTTATAACCACATGCATCAGTGAGTAATTTACCAGATGAGAAATAGTGAAAGCTCACACTCTAATACACTGCATTTTTAGGAGGCCAAGGCGGGAGGATCACTGGAACTCAGGAGTTCAAGACCAGCCTGAGTGATGGGGCAAGACTCTGTCTCTACTAAAATGAGCCAGATGTGGCAATGCACACCTGTAGTCATGGCTACTCTGGAGGCTGAGGTGGGAAGATCACTTAAGCTTGGGTGATCAAGTCTGCAGTGAGCTATGACTGACAGAGCAAGACCACGTCTAAAAAATAAATAAATAAAGTTAAATAATACACTGGATAGGAGTCAGAGGAGCTTACTGGAGAGTTGAATGGGAATCAATTCCCAACAATACTTCTGTTGGGGAAGGGATGGAGTCCTGGTTGTGGCTGTACAAGTTATTGAACTTGTCAGGAAAAGGAAATATTTATGGATGATAAAACATTGAATGGATTAATAGAGTTGCTGGGCTGTAACCAATTAGTCTTTATTGGGAAAAAAAATTTAACAAATTTTTAAAGAAATACAGGAAACTGGCCGGGCGCGGTGGCTCAAGCCTGTAATCCCAGCACTTTGGGAGGCCGAGACGGGCGGATCACGAGGTCAGGAGATCAAGACCATCCTGGCTAACACGGTGAAACCCCATCTCTACTAAAAAATACAAAAATCTAGCCGGGCGAGGTGGCGACTGTAGTCCCAGCTACTTGGGAGGCTGAGGCAGGAGAATGGCGTAAACCCGGGAGGCGGAGCTTGCAGTGAGCTGAGATCCCGCCACTGCACTCCAGCCTGGGAGACAGAGCGAGACTCCGTCTCAAAAAAAAAAAAAAAAAGAAATACAGGAAACTAGTGTGGCATGGTGGCACACACCTGTAGTCCCATCTACTCAAGAAGCTGAGGTGGGTGGATCTCTTGGGCCCAGGAGTTTAAAACCAGCCTGGGCAACATGATGAAACCTCATCTCTATTTAAAACACACACACACACACACACACACACACACACAAAACCTAGCCAGGTATGGTGGCACCATACCTGTAGTCCCAGCTACTAGGGAGGCTGAGGTGGGATAATCACTTGCACCCAGGAGGTCAAGGTTGCAGTGAGCTGAGATTGTGCCACTGAACTCCAACCTGGGCAACAGAGCAAGACCCTGTTTTGGGGTGGGGTAGGGGGCGGGGGGAAGAAATACAGTCCCAGCACTTTGGGAGGCTGAGGTGGGCGGATCACGAGGTCAAGAGATGAGACTGTCCTGGCTAACATGGTGAAACCCCGTCTCTACTAAAAATACAAAAATTAGCTGGGTGTGGTGGCACACGCTTGTAGTCCCAGCTACATGGGAGGCTGAGGCAGGAGAATCACTTAAACCTGGGAGGTAGAGTTGCAGTGAGCTGAGATTGTGCCTCCAGCCTGGCGACAGAGCGAGACTCTGTCTGAGAAAAAAAAAAATAATAATAGTAAATAAATACAGGAAACTGCAGAAGGAACACTAAATCCACTCCTGTCTAGAGTCAGTCACTGTTCATATTTTTATATATTTCCTTTGAGACTTTTTTTCTGTTTGTGCAGGGATACACATCTTTATACATATAGGTGTTTATTTGGGATCATACTGTGTAGTGCAGGATGCATTGTAATACCCTACTTTGTTTTCACTTAACATTGTATTATTCTGTTTTTAAACATTTCATGAAAAGCAGCTGCCTGCTACTTCATGTCCTGGATATATCTTGGTTAACTGTCCTCCGTTAGGAGAACATTTTGGTTACTTGTAGAATTTTCCGCTTGTTTTTTTTGCGACAAAGTCTGGCTCTGTTGCCCACCTTGGAGTGCAGTGGCACGAGCTTGGCTCACTGCCATTTCTACCTCCTGGATTCAAGTGATTCTTGTGCCTCGGCCTCCCAAGTAGCTGGGATTACAGGTGTGTGTCACCACAGTTGGCTAATTTTTGTTTTGTTTTTGTTTTGTTTTGTTTTTGAGATGGAGTCTTGCTCTGTAGCCAGCCTGGAGTGCAGTGGTGTGATCTTGGCGCACTGCAACCTCCGACTACCTGGTTCAGGCGATTCTCCTCCCTTAGCCTCCTGAGCAGCTGGATTACAGGCGCGCGCCACGACGACCAGCTAGTTTTTGTATTTTTAGTAGAGATGGGGTTTCACCATGTTGGCCAGGATGGTCTCGATCTCCTGACCTAGTGATCCCTCCACCTCGGCCTCCCAAAGTGCTGAGATTACAGGCATGAGCTACCATGCCCGGCCAATTTTTGTATTTTTAGTAGAGATGGAGTTTCACCATGTTGGCCAGGCTGGTCTCACACTCCTGACCTCAGGTGATCTGCCCACCTCGGCCTCCCAAAGTGCTGGGATTACAGTTGTGCGCCACCGTACCTGGCCTTTCCCCTTGTTTTTAGTGAACATAGAGCTAACAATTTTTAATCCTTAGCTTCTGATGGACTGAGGAGAAGTGTGAAGAAAAGTTTATCATGCCCTGGTTTGGCACCCATTAGGACATTGAGTGTCCCTTTTTTGTTCTCTGCTGGTTGTGGACAGCATGAAATGTATTGTTTTATAAGCAGCACAGAGAAAGCACTCTAGCTGCCTGCTTTTTTAGGACTGGTACTGGAGAACAATCGGAGGGCAAAAGTGCTTGGCTAAATCGCCTTTTTTTTCTTTTAGTTTTTGCAATCATGAATCCGGTTTATAGTCCTGGATCTTCTGGGGTTCCCTATGCAAATGCCAAAGGAATTGGTTATCCAGGTAAGCAAGTACAATTTTGTTTTCATTTTTGAACTTTGAATACGTGGTATATTTTCATGTCACTTTTTTTTATTGACAAACGTAGCTCTAAGTGGCTTAGACAAGAAAGAAAATACCTGGAAGTAAACAATCAAGTGGTAGGACTGGATTTGGTCAAAACTTGATCTAGTGGCTCCAGCAGTTGGGACCAGGATGTAGTTTCTCTACCTCCTGGTCTCAGCTTCACTTCCTCAGTGTTAACTTAGTGTTGGTCACAGGTCCCATTCCTTCTCATTGTGGTCTCTGAAGTTCAGGCCCCTCGCAGTAGTCCCTCACTAAGAGCCTCTTTACCTTCACCCTACAGGAAAGCCCGATGGGGCTGCTTGTTCTCTGTTCAAACCAGTTCTGGGCTTTGTTCTGATTAAACTCAGCGTCTCTCCCTGGTCCATAAAGGGGAGTCTGCTGATTGACTTAGGCCTGATCCACATCCCTTTGGTGGAGTCAGCTAGTCAAATATGGACTGCAAGTGAAGGTTGCAAGGAAATGGATATTGAGGGAACGAGAGCTGGTTGGTCAAAAATAACAAATGGTTGTTCCCTTTGGTGACTTTGCACAAGGAGTAGTTATTTGTGATGATACAGTTTCAGTTTGGGTTCTGATAATATAGAAGAGATAACCCCAAAACTTTGTTGCTGTAAGACTCTCAGAAAATGAAATAAAACATTTTACAAATGTATAACTGAACTTGCAGGAGGTAAGAGAGATAGCTGGGGTCAAACGTGAAAGCCCTGTTAAACTCAGCTCTCCTGGCCTTTGAACTAATGTCCTGCCTCTCCTGGGGACATGTGCTATTTGTGGGTTTTAGCAACCCACATGGGGGTAGAGACTGAGTCTTAGGACCCTTGCAACAGGGAATGGAAGTGAGACTTCTTATCAATCATTCTCGCCCCTCTGGAGAGGGATACTCCCCACCAAAGAGATAGACTAAACAGTCTAGTCATCCAGTGGCCCCATAAGGAAGTTTGGATGCTTGGGCTCTGAGAACAGGGGGAGATCCTTACTAAGACTTTGTAAGCATTCAGAGATGTTTGGGGCTCTAGCTTGTATTATACTCCCCAGGGGTTCAGAAGTTGAGAAATTAACGTAAAAATAGTCTCCAGGCTTCGTTACTCCTGGAGCATCTGACAGCAGCGAATGCAGAACTGCTGTGGGGGCGTATGTTCACAACCCAGGTTGCGTGGGCTTCCTGCAGGCAAAGTTCTGCCTGCTAGCATGGGATGCCTCCCATCAAGTAAGAGGCACCACCCATGACAGACTGCAGGAGAAGAACCATCAGGTAGAAACTATGTCACGTGGACAAATTTAGAAGAATTGTAGATAGAAAGAATCAGAAACATAAGAGGGGAACAAGATGCTGGGAAAAAAGAACTAGCTGGAACTTTAAGAAATGAAACAAAATGGCGTATGAACAAGTTTCAGGTTAATGTCAAGACAAAACACTTGTGGAGAGAAGAAACCAGAATGCAACATAAGGAAAGGCAGGAAAACAACAGTAAAGAAACTGGCCGGGCGCGGTGGCTCACGCCTGTAATCCCAGCACTTTGGGAGGCTGAGATGGGAGGATCACGAGGTCAGGAGATCGAGACCATCCTGGCTAACATGGTGAAACCCCATCTACACTAAAAATACAAAAAATTAGCCGGGTGCAGTGGCGGGCACCTGTAGTCCCAGGTACACGGGAGGCTGAGCCAGGAGAATGGCGTGAACCCGGGAGGCGGAGCTTGCAGTGAGCCAAGATTGCGCCACTGCACTCCAGCCTGGGCAACAGAGCAAGACTCTGTCTCAAAAAAAAAAAAAAAAAAAAGAAACATCTGGAGCTCTTCTCCAGGACTGAGTAGAGAAACCATAAGAAAAGGAGTGGCAGGCCGGGCGCAGTGGCCCACGCCTGTAATCCCAGCACTTTGGGAGGCCGAGGTGGGTAGATCACGAGGTCAGGAGATGGAGACCATCCTGGCTAACACGGTGAAACCCCGTCTCTACTAAAAATACAAAAACATTAGCCAGGCGTGGTGGCGGGAGCCAGTCGTCCCAGCTGCTCAGGAGGCTGAGGCAGGAGAATGGCGAGAACCCGGGAGGTGGAGCTTGCAGTGAGCAGAGATCGTGCCACTGCACTCCAGCCTGGGCAACAGAGCAAGACTCCATCTCAAAAAAAAAAAAAGAAAAAGCAGTGACAGAATTTTCCAGAATTGATGAAGGATAATTTAGTGATGAGCTGTGTCAACACCAGTTTAAACAGTGTTTTAAATAGCTAAGGAGGATCCTGAGTGCAGCTGGAGCCAGAGGAATGGCCAAAACCAATGGCATTAGCACACGCTTACGGTTCTCATCAGTACAATAAGACAAGGATTGCCTCTTGTAATCACCAGTTTTGTGCAAAGCTGTGAGGATGCTGAGGTATGTGCATTTTGCTCCTGCTGTTTGGTTAGTCAAAAGCAGGGATTGGTAAGTTAGATAAAGGTCTAGATAAAAATATTTTACGCTTTGTGGATCATACCATCTCTGTCATCACAACCACTCAACTCTGCCTTCGTAGCACAAAAGCAGCCATAGATAATACTGAGCATGTAAGGGTGTGCGTGTTCCAGTGAAACCGCGACAACAGGCAGTGTGCTGAAATTGCCGTGTGGGCTGTCATTTACTGACTGGTCAAGAGAATTGGAGTAAAACACTTTTTTAGGCTTTTTTTATTTTTGGTCTACAAAACACGTTTAAAGGAAGATTTCTGTAATTTTGAAACTTCACTGCCAAAAGCTAAGAAGATATGAGAAAGGAAAATGCTTTTATGCAACTTTATACTCTTACTGGCCAATGGAGAGTCTGGTCTATAACTTTTCTTTTTGTTTACATTTAATGGAAAAAAGTAACTCTTCCTCAAAATGCTTTCTTCCTTTTTATTTTTTTGAGATGGAGTTTCTCTGCCCGTGCCCATCCTGTTCATTTAATTCTTCATTAACTTATAAACAGTTCTTTTATAGCTGGGCGTGGTGGCTCATGCCTGTAATCCCAGTAATTTTTGAGAGGCTGGGGCAGGCGAATCACCTGAGGTCCGGAGTTCAAGATCAGCCTGGTCAACATAGTGAAACCCTATCTCTACTAGAAATACAAAAAATTAGCCGGATGTGTAATACCAGCTACTCGGGAGGCTGAGTCAGGAGAATCGCTTGAACCTGGGAGGCGGAGGTTGCAGTGAGCCAAGATAGCATCGTCACACTCTAGCCTAGGCAACAAAAATGAAACTCTGTCTCAAAAAAAAAATTATTTTACTATTCTTTTAGTGCTTATTATAAAGATTATACCACTTTTATTTTTTTATTTTTTTTTTTTTGAGACAGTCTCGCTGGACATCGCCCAGGCTGGAGCGCAGTGGCACAATCTCAGCTCACTGCAATCTCCATCTCCCGGGTTCAAGTGATTCTTCTAGACTTTGTGCCGTGAAGTCAGATGAGGGTAACAGGACCTAGTGCGTGATACCCTTAGCACCCTTATTACTCTTGTTAAGTAATTATGTGATTTAGAGTTTGGAATGAAACTTCCAGAAATGTTATAATTGAAGCTGGGCACTGTGGCTTACGCCTGTAATCCCAGCACTTTGAGAGGCCAAGGTAGGTGGATCATGAGGTCAGGAGTTCAAGACCAGCCTGGTCAACATGGTGAAACCCCGTCTCTCCTAAAAATACGAAAATTAGCCAGGCCTGGTGGTAAACACCTGTAATCCCAGCTACTCAGAAGGCTGAGGCAGGAGAATCGCTTGAAACGGAGGTTGCAGTGAGCCGAGATCGTGCCACTGCATTTTAGCCTGGGCAACAAGAGTGAAACTCTGTCCCCCCCAAAATAAAAAATAAAATATATAATTGTGACCTATCAAAATTCTGAGGGAAAGCCAGGCGCAGTTCTCACACCTGTAATGGGAGGCTGAGGTGGGTGGATCACCTGAAGTCAGGAGTTTGAGACCAGCCTGGCTGATGTGATGAAACTCCGTCTCTAGTAAAAGTACAAAAATTAGGTGTGTTGGCATGCACCTGTAAGCTCCTCGGAAGGCTGAGGCAGGAGAATTGCTTGAACCTGGGAGGCAGAGGTTGCAGTGAGCCAAGATAGTGCCATTGCACTCCAGCCTGGGCGACGAAAGCAAAACTCTGTGTCAAAAGACGACAACAACAAAAAACAAAGTTCTATGGGAAGAAGACAACTAGAGACACATCGTTGGCCACACATAGTGCTCTCGGGGCTGCTTAAGTCAGTCCGTGGAGTTCTGGGGACAAAGGTAAGAGCGATGGCTTTGCAGGAACTCTGGTGATTGTGCGTCACTGCTTCAGTTGATGACATGAGATTGTTCTGTATTTTTCTTCAGCTGGTTTTCCCATGGGCTATGCAGCAGCAGCTCCTGCCTATTCTCCTAACATGTATCCTGGAGCAAATCCTACCTTCCAAACAGGTATGTGCTGGGTGATAAAATGCTTTGTACGTACAGCTGGGAGAGAAAAGTCAAGGGATGGATTTTGAGAAGGGTGGGTATAGAATTAGGACTTGGTTGAGTCGATTTCTCAAGTTCATTAAATTAGCCTGTTGATAAGTGCAACAAAAGCTTAATTCTCACTGCACTAAAGCTTTATATACTGTGTTTCTCATGTCCTCCCACAAGGCAAATCTGTAATCACTAGGTTGTTAGAGTTAACTCTGCCAGAGCATCTGTTCATGAAGTAGTATCACCTACTAGAAACTGAAGACTCTTGCCATGCTAACAGGTGGAATTTCTATGTTAATGTTTTTAGAGATAATTTTTTATTTGACTACTTTAGCACTCTGATCATATTTTTTTAAAAAGTATTATTTTCCATGTAAGGTATATATGAATATTTTTAGATTTTGGAAATCACTGTTACTATTGAAAGTGGAATTGGTTTGGGTCTGAATCGTGAGGAGATTGGTTATTTAGTGGGATTTCCTCCTGGGAGCCTGCACTTTCCGGTGTTTTCCTTTTGGACTTTTTTCACCCGCAGCAGTGGTGGTGCACACTCTGATCTGAGGCTGTGGTGTGGCCTTAATCCTGCTGGGGCAACTTTTGTCCCTCACACTAGCCTAACACAGTTAACTCTGACAGAGGAGGACACAATAGCAGTGTCCTTTCCCCAAATTCTTCCAGTTTTGTGGATCATGAAATTCTGCCTTTATGTTCTGTCCTTACATCCATCTCTTCCTTTCCATTTCTACTATGACTACCCTTGTTCAGCCTGTAGTTCACAGCCTGAAAAAAACCTTCTTGACTTGGTTGTCATGCTCCCGAGCTTTCTCTCCCTGGGTTAGTGTTCTTCCTATTTAAACCAGAGCGATGCTCCCAGATGAGTTTTTCTCAGTGGTTTCCCATGACTATAAGACACAGTTATGCCAAGAGTCTCGACTTTCAGTCCCTGGCTGTTTGCCACATTGGCCCATTTTTTCCCCTTTAGAGTGGTTTTCCTTTTGTGTTTTGCCTTGAAAGAACCATCCGTCTCGTAGTGTGTATCCGTAGTTCATTCCTTTTTATTGTTATGTAGTATTTTGTTGTATGGAAATAAATATTTCAGTTTGCTTATCCATGTACCATGTGATGAACGTTTGGGTTATTTGCAGTTTTGGGCTATTAGAAATGAAAATGCTGTTAATATTTACATGCAGTTTATTGTGTGAACATATGCTTTGATTTCTCTTGAGTAATAAATACAGAGGATTCGAGTGGCTGGTTATTATGGCAGGTGTGTATTTAACTTTGTGAGGAACTGCCAAACTCTTCCGAAATGGTGGTACCATTTTACATTCCTGCCAGCAGTGTTTGTGAGTTGCAGTTCCTCCACATCCTTAACAACACTTGGTGTGGTCAGTCTTTTTAATTCTAGCCATTCTAGTGAATGTGTAGCAGTATCTTTTCATGTGCGTATTTGCCTTCTGTGTGACTTTGGTGAAGAATTTGTATACAGCTTTTATTGTATGTCGGTTATTGTTTTTTTATCATTGAGTTTTGAGAGTTCTTACCAGATATATGCATGTTTTTTCCCAGTCTGTGGCTTTTTCATTCTTCTAACAGTGTCTTTAAAAGTGGTTTTAAAAGTTTGGGCCAGGCGCGGTGGCTCACGTCTGTAATCCCAGCAATTTGGGAGGCGGAGGTGGGCAGATCACGAGGTCAGGAGTTCGAGACCAGCCTGGCCAACATGGTGAAACCCTGTCTCTACTAAAAATACAAAAATTAGCTGGGCTTGGAGGTGCGCTCCTGTAATCCCAGCTACTCAGGAGGCTGAGGCAGGAGAATTGCTTCAACCCAGGAGGCAGAGGTTGCAGTGAGCTGAGATCATGCCATTGCACTCCAGCCTGGGTGACAGGGTGAGACTCCGTCTCAAAAAAATGTTTGATGAGGGTTAGTCGTTTTATGGATCATGCTTTTTGGTACCATACTTAAGAAACTTGTATAACTTGGCTGGGCGCAGTGGCTCACGGCTGTCATCCCAGCACTTTGGGAGGCCGAGGCCTGCTGATCATGAGGTCAGGAGATCAAGACCGTCCTGGCTTACACGGTGAAACCCGCTCTTTACTAAAAATACAAAAAATTAGCTGGGCATGGTGGTGGGCACCTGTAGTCCCAGCTACTCGGGAGGCTGAGGCAGGAGCATGGTGAGAACCCGGGAGGCGGAGCTTGCAGTGAGCTGAGATCACGCCACTGCACTCCAGCCTGGGCTACAGGGTGGCGAGACTGTCTCAAAAAAAAAAAAAAAAAAAAGAAACCTGTGTAACCTAACTTCACAAATATTTTCTTCTTTTTTCTTGTAGAAGTTTTACACTTGTAGGTTTTTCATTTATGTCTGTGACCCATTTGGAGTTAATTTTTGTGTGTGATGGTAGGAATGGATTGAAGTTTGTATCCTCGGCATACGTATGAATGTGGCATGTGATAATCATGCTGTAGACCACCATAACATTAGTTACTCTTTTAGGATTTTCACAGGTAGCCCACTTTTACTCATGTCTTCATGGAGGCACAAATCAGTGTGAAAATGTACTTAAAACTTTCAGCTTTTTTATTTTACAAGAAGAACCTTGAGTTTATTTCAGGCTGACAGAGCTGTTCTTGCCAAAAATGTGCAGCACTGCCTCGCAGAGGCAGGGTGGTGTTTGGAGGCCAAGTGCTGCTGACAACTTCCCACCTTGGGCGCCTCTGGGGGCCACCCTGTGGAACATGTGCGACCCATCTCATTATTATTTTGAGACGAGGTCTTGCTCTGTCGCCCAGGCTGCAGTGCAGTGGTGCAGTCACACCTCACTGCACCTTCAACTTTCCAGGCTCGAGCAATGCTCGCCCCTCAGCCTCCCGAGTAGCTGGGATTACAGGTGCACACCACCACACCCAGCTAATTTTTCTATTTTTTTGTAGAGATGGGTCTCACTGTGTTGCCTAGACTGGTCCCAAACTCCTGGGCTTAAGTGATCCTCCTGCCTCAGCCTCCCAAAGTACTGGGATATTATAGCCGTGAGCTACTATGCCCAGCTTGTCACCCATCTTCTTGAACATCTCTCCTTTCTCATAGGGAGGTAAGGCCTGTGTTGTCCCTTTTCCAAGACTGCTCTCAAATTGTTCTGTAATCCAGAAGCAGGGACAGGCAGGTAGCAACTGCAGCTGCCCAAATGGCCTGCCTTGTTTAGAGGGGCATCCGCTGACGGGTGTCAGGCAGTTGTTGGGTGCCAGACTGCTGGCGCACCAGTGCCAGATCTTCTGGTCTTGTAGGAGAAGCTGTGAAATTGGTGGATGAAAAATACAAGGCAGCCAGGCACGGTGGTTCATGCCTGTAATCCTAGCACTTTGGGATGCCAAGGTGGGCAGAACACTTGAGGCCAGGAATTCAAGACCAGCCTGGCCAATATGGTGAGACCCCGTCTCTACTAAAAATACAAAAATTATCCAAGTGTAGTGGCACACACTTGTAGTCCCAGCTGTTTGGAAGGCTGAGGCAGAAGAATCAGTTGAACCTGGGAGGCAGAGGTTGCAGTGAGCCAAGATCACGCCACTGCACTCCAGCCTGGGTGACAGAGCGAGACTCTGTCTCAAAAAAAAAAAGAAAAAAGAAAGTCTTTCTGATGTCCCACAAGTGTTGTTGGCCATCTGATCTGAGTCTGGATCACAGCTGTGTGCCCATCTTTTTCTGGGATCCTCTCTGTTTTCATGTCTTAGGTGTTTGTTTTTAAGAGATGGGGGTCTTGTGGTTTCACCCAAGGTGAAGTCCAGTGGTAGTTACAGCGTTTTTCTGCTGAGTTCAGGGGATCTTCCCAACACAGCCTCCCAAACTGTTGGGATTACAGGCATAAACCACAACACCCAGCCTCATGTTTTGAATTTTTAAATTCCCTTTTCAGTGAGCCTATCCCTGTTTCTGATGAGCAAGCCAAAATTATCAGTATAAAAAATTTAAAAGAGAAGTTTTTCTCCCTTCCTGCTGCTTTCTCTCTGTCTCTCTCGCTTTCTCTCTCTCTTTCTGTGTGTGTGTGTGTGTGTGATAGGATCTCACTTTGTTGCCTAGGCTGCAGTGCAGTGGCATGAACTTGGCTCACAGCCAAGCGATCCTCCTGCCCCAGCTTCCCAAGTACCTGGAACCTTAGGCACAAGTCACCCCACCTAGATAATTTTTAAAAAAATTTTGTAGAGATGGGGTCTCACTGTATTGCCCAGGCTGGTTTCAAGTTCGTGAGCTCAAGCAGTCTTCTCACCTTGACCTCCCAAAGTGTTGGGATTACAGGAGTGAGCCACTGCACCCGGCCCCTGCTGCTTTCTTGATCTGCCTTTTGGTTCTCTTGCCATCCAGTTTGTACCCAGTGCTGACTTGTGGTTTCAACGCTGTATATGTGGAGTTTGGCTTCCAGAGCACTTTTGTAATCCAAATGCCACGTATTTCTTAGCCCTCTTCCAATTGTAACATAAGAGGAATCTTGAGAACCTTGTGATGAGATGTCTTTTGCTGAAGAATTCTATTTTTCGGAATCTGGAAATGGAGAAGGTGTCATTCATTCATTTTGTCCTCCTGAACAAGGCTGTGTATGCACACATCAAGAGTGGTGATATGGTTTGGCTGTGTCCCCACCCAAATCTCATCTTGAACTGTAGCTCCCATAATCCCCACGTGTCATTGGAGGGACTTGGTGGGAGGTAATTGAATCATGGGGGTGGATTTTTCCTGTGCTGTTCCCGTGATACTGAATAAGTCTTATGAGATCTGATGGTTTTATAAAGGGCAGTTCCCCTGCACACGCTCTCTTGCCTGCCGCTGTGTAAGGTGTGCCTTTGCTCTTCCTTTGCCTTATACCATGATTGTGAGGCCTCCCAGCCATGTGGAACTGTGAGTCGATTAAACCTCTTTCCTTTATAAATTACCCAGTCTCGGGTATTTCTTTATTAGTAGTATGAGAATGAATTAATAC